AAGTTGTGGGACTGCTAAGATTGGCAAATGAAGAAAACGATGTCAGTGGTTTTGTTCACTGACACATCCAACAAAAATGCTGAAAAGCAGAAGGGATCACTTGCCTGGGATCAAATTCCAAGTGTGGTCCATTTTGAGAGGGGAACAGGCTAGTGTTCAGAGCTGGGCATTTGTGAGTTGGGATAATGTAGCATATTTGGCAATGTCAGAGTTGTTTTTGGAGTCTCAATTCTGATTCCAGATGTTTTTCAATACAACAAGTAGGCAGGGGGGATTTAAATAGTAAAGTTCGTGGTGAATAACATTACGCAATACTTCTTCAGCTGTCTGGATATTTTGAAAAATTATTAGGTGTCATACACATTCGATTGTAAATCGATCCTGTGAATATCCATTATTTATACCTAGGGTGACCATACAAACCAGAGACACTGTAGAGAGAGAAAGGGGTGCTGTTAATAATTATACTGGACAACACACATAATGGGGAAAGTCTCAGACGATTTGGGACACAGGAGCTTCTTATTTTGAAAGACAGGAATTGATAGTAGGAGAATGTACTTTGTTTTATATAAAACAAATTGTTTAAAATTAAAAAAATGTGTTCTCTTTGATTATAACTAATGCTATTTGCTTCTGTGACCGTGCTTACTTTCAATTGTTTGTTAAATGCAGTTAATCAGAAACAGGAATAAGACCAGGAGTGACTCCATGACAGGCTGAACTTCCTGGAGTAGGCCTAAATTTCGGTTTTCCCGAAACGACGCAGCCCTTTCCCCGAAATGACGCTGACCACAACTGGTGCTGGCGCGAAAATCCCGAGACTTGGAGCCACTTTTAAAGGAGCCAATCAGGAGCCAACACGATCAGCCACTTTTAAAGGAACCAATGAACTAGGGAGGGGAGGGGGGAAGGTGTGCCCAGCGTGTCGTGTGTAAAACACAAAAAGGTATAAAAGCTTAACCTCTACCCCAAGGCGGGGTCCTCGCCCTTAGAAGAGGCCACTGCGTTGGTGCTCTGGGACTTGGACCCTAGCTCGAGCTAGCCAATAAACTCCATTGCCATTTGCAGCCTCGGTGACTCTGCATCTCTGTTCCTGGGGCCGAGGGGAACCGGATCTAACAATTTCTACCTGGAGAGTGAAGAAGAGTGTTCATTCAATGTGCTGCAGTTCCTCCTTGATTTCTTTTTTAAGTTTTTCATTAAGTACCATTATTTTATATTATCTGCAGGAGTCTTCCCTTTGAGAGGAGACTTTTACAGTAGAGGTTCAGAAATGATCAGATAAATGTAGGAAATTTATCCTGTGTTTCAGTGGTATTAGATTTCTGTTCTTCTCTTTCCTCGTTTTACTTCTCCCCATGCAAACCCACATCACTGCCTCCCTGCTCGTGAGGCATAGGATTGTTCCAGAGGGAGAAAGATTTTGGATGTCGGGAAGCCTTTTTTATGCTTTCATGGAGAAAACCATTTTGCTAGCCTATGTCTCCTGGTTCACACTCTCTGTCCAATAATATGATACTCAATGTAAAGTTTTTTCCCTTTTCCATTTAAAAAAAAAAGACCCTTAAGCTCAAAAATAAGCACGTGCACAGAACCCAGGCTTATCTTTGGCTGTATAAAAATAACCTCTGGGCTGGGTGCATTGGCTCACACCTGTAATCCTAGCACTCTGGGAGGCCGAGGCGGCCAGATCATTTGAGCTCAGGAGTTCGAGACCAGCCTGAGCAAGAGCGAGACCCCGTCTCTACTAAAAAAATAGAAAGAAATTAGCTGGACAACTAAATATATATATATATATAGAAAAATTAGCCAGGCATGGTGGCGCATGCATGTAGTCCCAGCTACTTGGGAGGCTGAGGCAGTAGGATCGCTTGAACCCAGGAGTTTGAGGTTGCTGTGAGCTGACGCCACGCACTCTAGCCAGGCAACAGAGTGACACTCTGTCTCAAAAAATAAATAAATAAATAAATAACCTCTGTGTGCTAATGCATATGCAATGGTTCAAACAAACCCAAACCAATAAAATCATTCCTGTGTCCCTAACAAGCATTTAATAAACCTGTTTGAGGAAAATTTCTTTGGCTTAATATAATTTTGGGACATCTAATTTTTTTCACACGCAGGAACTCTCAGTGTATGATAACTCACAATATATGACTCAGAAGCAGAGATGAATTAGAAGTCTGTTAAGGTCACTTCATTCTATCAGATTCAGCTTAGAGAACTGGCTACTGGGTCTCTGTGGCTGAACTGCTAGGCTGGGTCCATAAACTAGTACGAGGTTAATAGGACTCAAAATGATTTACATTCGTGTCTTTACAGGTTGGATGGGCTGGGTATAAGGGAGAGAAGAAGAAGAAAGGGGGAGAATAAACAAAAACAAGGTGAGAAGATCTTGGCTTCACTGCATAGCTACTCTGATCTGTGCAGTAGGGACCGTGACTCCTGCCTACTCCATGGAGATGTGGTAAAGATCATGTAAAAAAATGAATTTGAAAAAGCTCGCTTTAGGGTGAAATGTTTGTGCATATATAAGGCATGTTATGCCAAGAAAGAGAAATAAACAGAATTTTGCAGACAAACCTTTCCCAAAGTTGATATTTACCTTTCTGTAATGTCTAAAGAGAGCCTCCTCAAGAAGGACATGACCTATAATATATATCCCTGATCTTTTCTGGGAAGGATGAGGATAACCTGCGCCTATCAAGCAAGCATGAGGTGGAAACCAACTGCAAAAGGAGCTTTAACTCTAGAAGAAGAAAGGCGCGAGGGTCCCTAGACTTCGGTATTTTTACTAAGATCATCGTCACCAGGACTTTGATTGGGCTGGGTCTTCAATGTCATAGTATTTTACAAGATGTTTTAATAGTCAATTTAGTGCACAAAGCAGCCAAGCTAATTGATCGTTTGACAATCAACTAATTGTTGGGCTCTTTTGATTTATGTTTGGGTCAACCTGACCATCAGAACAAGTAAGTAAATTACAGACAAGGCTAATGCATGGGAAAGTCACCGGGAGTTGGGCCAAGCCCTGTGGATGAGGACAAAGGAAGGGAAAGGTGAATTTGACACGTGTCCCTGGCCTAGGCATTACACTTTGGTTCACCATGGCTGTAAGTTCAAAACTATACAAGAACCCAAAATCAGCAGTTTATTTACTTAGGATTTTAATTTTGAAGACATTTAAGATAGGAAGCAACTAAATGGCACCACATCTCAGAATTAAAATTTCATATATACCCTCTGTGCAAATAAAAATCTATGGATTCCTATTCTCGTACTTCTTGCTGATTTGCATACTTGTTGCCGCTTCTCAAAGCACTCTTGGATAATTCACTTGTGTTTGTAGTTTAAAAAAATTTTTTCTTGTATGCCTTCATTTTTCTGTCCAGTTCTTATAGATCAGGGGTTGTACCATAGTCTCCTTTGTGTGACTAGGCAAGTTCATTAATTTCACCGTGTCTCATTTTTTCAGTATAACATAGGCATTATTACTTTTATATCACAGACATGCTATAAAGATGAAGTTCATAAAGATCTTGACATAGTTCCTTGCTAAAACATGCTTTAAACTGTTAGTAAGTATTACCACCGGACTGCTGTGTAGGGCTCTGTCCTATTAGGGTTCTGGCTCCACCGCACGGTAGGACCTTAGCTTGGGCCATTAAGCTTAACATAGCAGCCCCAACCAGCTTTTCAACCTTCTCCCACCCGTCAACGCCTCACTTACTAGTCTCCAGCCACATTGTTACAATCATTCCAGAACTGAGATATTTGCACTGGCATTTTCTCTGCCTGGACATCTCTATCCCCAGGTGTGCTCCTGGCTGTTTCTTTCCCTGTCATTAGTTATAGCTCCGCCCCCACCTAAGGAGGCTCTCCTGGACCACCGACCCAAAGGAGAGCTTCTTCCCTGGTCACTATCCCATTTCCTGTTTTGTTCATTCGTGACATCTGAATCATCTTGTTCATTTATTTACTTTTGTGTTACCTGTCTCTTCCCTTCTAGGATATAAATTGTCTGAGAGTAGAAATTTTAGTGTCTTGCTCTTGTACCCAGAACTGCGTCCTGCACAGGACAAGGGCTCATTATGTATCTTTTGAAAGGATAGATAATTGCCAAAGTCAATTTCTTTTTAGAGTAACCAAAAAAAGTGGGCCACATTTTATTATTTTAAATAATAAAAATCAATTTTTTAAATTCAAAAAATCCACCGATGCTTGTTCTTACTGAAGAGAAGATGATTTTATTCAAGCTAAATATTTTTCTGCTCTCTTGAATACAGTTTGTAAGTCTTCTTTCTGCTTCTCTCCAAACTTGAGCACTCACGGGGTAAAATTCCCATTTTCTTTCTCTGCTTTCTGTTTCAAGGTGTACAAGAGCACGAGATCCTTAAACAGGTTACAAAGGCAGGCATCTAATTCCTCTTGGCTTTGCTGTGTGGCCCAATTATGAGCCAACAGAATATGTTTGGCCACATGTTTAAACCCGCAAATAGATGTGTTTATGGAATGGAAATGTATCAGCACTAAATCATTTGTCACTGTCTGCTCAAATAGATTTAAACTTGTGGCTACGTCTTTCTAGTTCTCAAGATACAAACATTTCATTCCCGTTTGCCATGATTTTACAAGTTGGATTTTTAAAATCAATGTCATTTTGCTACACATATTTGTACATATATTTTTAACTATATCTCACTCAGCCCATTTATCCAAAGAGCAAATTAAAATAAATATTGTTGTTACCTGATGAATGTGTCTATGGTTTATTTATTTTTCCAAAACCACTTGGATGTTTTTCCTTCCTAATAAATTGGTTTCCATTTATTTCCAAATAAAATTTGCTATATTCTGATTTTTGTAGGTGGGATTTATCCTAATGTTCCTTAATTGTTTTGTAAAAATCACTTTTCTCGATAAAAACCAAAACAGTAATAACGTGAGCTAAATTATGGTATTTCTTACAGTTAAATGTTGTATTCTTGATACCTTTATTTATATGGGTTCCTTTATTTAAATGAGCATTTCTGAAATAAGTGATGTATTTGTAATAATCATTATTAACTGCATTAAGGAATGAATAATTTTCAACTGGTGGTTTTTCACAGCCAGTGATACAGCCCCCAGAGCGGGGTGTGCACAGAGTAGGAGCACATTAATGTTTGTTAAATTAATCTTTAGCAGGTTATACAATATTTAGCATGCCTGAGAGCATGGTAACATTTCATAAGTATAAAAATCAATGCAATTGGCTGGATTTAGAAATTATTAGTCTTTTCACATATGATCTTATTTTTCTGACCTTATTTATAAGGTATCGACATCAGTTCTCAAGCCAGTAAGTTTTTCCTCTGAGAAAATAATCCAGCACAAAAGAAGACAGATACAGTATTTTCCATACACATTTGGGAAACTCTAAATGATCTAAAGTTCTAATAGTCCCTGGTTTCAAATACTGAGTGTTCTTTGGTGAGTGGCATTGGTTTAATCTATGGGTTTTGTTTTCGTTGTCCTTTTTTTTTTTTAATATTGAAGCTTCTAAAAAGTTCTCAAACGAAAAAATTGAAAAACTCTAAATTTAGACTATGACAATAATTAAGAAAATGCAGAAAGGGCACTGGTAGATTTTTAAAAACTATTTTAATACAAGATTAATAGCAATTTTCTATCCAAATCAGAAATGAAAAATCTTAACCGAAATAATATTCATTTGACAGTCACATAAAATTTTAGGTTTGATTGGTGCACACATTTATCCTGCATATATATTGTGTATATGCACAGAGACCTTACTATTATGCCATCCTTTGCGGTCTTTTCATGGAAGTACCTCTTTATAAGGCAATGTCAAAGATTCCAGTAACTACTCAACTTTGAATGAAGTTCAAAATGTCCCCCTGCTAAGCTGAGTCCGGGCTGTAGCAAACCATGATATAGCAAGTCTCTAGAATGCGTACAAATCAATACACTATTTGTATCAGTTGGCCTGAAACTAAACACTGGCTAATGTCTCCACCAAGGAGGAACACATTGCAAATTTATAAGTTATGGTCTCCTTTACTCTTCTGTTGCAAAGCTAAACTGTCTTTTTTTTTTTTAATTAAAAGTCAGGTCTTTTAGTGACTGGAAGTCAATAAAAATGAGTTTAAATGTCTGCAAGGTTTGGCTAACACAAAACTTGCATTTGCTGATGCTTCTATCGTTACTCAAACCACCTGATAATTAGCTTTGCAAAGAGAAGTGATAAAAGAATCACAGCTCAGGAATTTGCTATGTTTTATTCCTCTTTGGGGACTTTAGTTGGTGTTCAGTCTGTAGCCAAAACATGTATGTAATGGCAAAAGAATTAAAGTAGGCTAATGTCTGCAGCAGGGAATAGAAATTAAATATCAGGGTTCTGCCTCCAATAATATTTTCAATGTGTTTGATTTAAAGAATGTAACATTTATAATTACTACTGCTTGTCGATGAGTAACAGTGTTTTTTAGTGTAGACAAAATAGCATTTTCTATCCCTTACATTTAAAGCAGGTGATATGATATAAGTTACTTAATGCTATCTGGGTAAATCACTGTAAGGGACTTAAGATTTCTAGTGCTAACGTTCTATGATGGCTATAATCAAAGTACCAACTTGGCCTTCGTTACAATGACAGAAGGTTGTCAACAGTTGTCCTTCAATACAGAACCGTAAACAGAGCTCTTATTCATAAATTTGCAATTCATTCTTCTCTGCTAAAGACTTTAGCCTCTGTTTAGCTTTTGTTGTAACATATACAAAGTATAATATATACCAATTACAGACGTGTATTTCTGTTAGAAAAATACATATTATAACTAAAGAACATGTAAATAGAGGCACTTCAATAAGCTAAGTGTTTGCAGTTATGAGCATCACCCACCAATGTCTAGTGTCTGATTTCAGTGAGCCCATTCCTCTCTATTCATAACAAAAGTTATGATGATGGACATCAGAGCAAATGAGGGCAGGTCATGAAAAATAATGGAGCATCACTGCATCCCCTATCACTAGGCTGAAATGAGAAAAATTGATTTGGGGGGAAAATTCCAAAATACTTACTGAAATGGGGTAATTAGATTAAATGAAATCCTTTAGGGACAAAAAAAATTCTCATATTAAATGAGTCTGAAAATCATATGACACGGCAGGCTGATGATAAAAACCAAGAAGTACAACTTGAATATTATTTTGACCACGTCCATGCAGGGTGACTAATATTGTGGCATCTCTAACTGACAGTCATTTCAGCTCTCTGCCTGGCTCATATGCATCATTAAATCTCATCAATATGAATAATATTCATAATGAAGGCATTGAAACAAATGAAGCAGGCGTTTGTATATTATCTGTGTGTTTAGTGCGTACAGAACATGGGTTCACATTCATTAATATAATGTGAATTCATACACATGCACAAAACCTTTTGGGGTGAAAGCACAGGAAAAACAAAACATCCTGATCTATTTCATAAAAGATAATGCAGAAATATTTAAAAAAAGAAAAGACTTGGAATTTAAAGCCATAAAACAAGTTATTACTCAAATATTTTGGAAAATCAAGGTTGATTTAACTTGTATTGCACCTTAATTACTGGAGAAAGACAATACTGATTACTGAACATACAATGAAATGAGCAAGGTAAATGATTGGTCCTTCACAGAGATGTTTTTATGTGTAATTGGTGATAGGAAGCCGAAGTTTGGCAGTGAAATAGACGGTTTTCTAGAAGTATGTAACGCTGAATTAGATCGTTACTTTCATCAAGGTTCAAATGAAAGGATGCCACAAAGTCTCTCAGAATCTTACATTTTATATTTCATTAGGCATAAAGTAGCAATAGATGCTTGTAAATACTTTCTGTTTTGCAAAAGTGCTCAAATATACTTAATACTATTGTGCCGTATGTGTTCTACATAAATGTGATGACTAAATCAATAACTAATTTTAATTTTGATGAGAACAGAGATCGGAAAATAGCATTTATGTGTCAATACTGTCAATGAGTTAATTAAAATGTGACTGGCATACTATGGTGTCTTGAAACATGACTTTTCCCTACTCCAGATGCAACATAAAAACGAAGAAACACATGGATAGCCAACTGTATTCACAAAGCCCCAGTTTGGTTTATTTTGCTTCTCTCTGTTGGGGGAGCGTAGGGCCTGGCTTTGGCATACTTGGTGGGGAGGTTAGGCGGTGGTTCTAAATTGGCCTATTGAGTTAAGTCATTTATCCAAGTGCCAAGCAGGAATCCTAGGCCAAAGGTGTTGTACATGAAAGCAATGGTTTTTCATGAATAACATTCTTTACACGTACAGTTTTCATTACCAGTAAATTCCTGCACACCCACGGCTCATCCCATGGGCTCCACTCCACATAAGTCTGGAGCACCCAGGACAAAGCGTGTTCATGCAAAAAGGGTGTGCCCTGGCAAACTTTTAATAAATGGACAGTTAGATACATAAAAAGTTCTCTTTCTTGATTCTTGGTGCTCACAGATCACTGAGGAATCCCTTCTCTGAGCAGCACAAAACAAGAAGAGCTGGTTGACAAAACATTTTTGTTACAAAGGTGTGTCAACCCTGAGCTTGGAATTAAGAAGTTAAAATCTGTGATTTATATATATAGAGATATAAAAATAGATGATCATACTAAGACTAAAAAAGTGAAAGAAATCTCCATGTCAATACTATATATATATTTTTGTCTTGACTTTCTTTTGTTGTTGTGAGTTATTTTGTAAGAGAATGCCCTTGTGATGCAGAAACCAACTGACACAAAGCAAATAGTTAAGAATGAAAACTCATGAATGGATCTGTAATAATTGTTTATCGTCTCATTATGAAAAAAAAAACAAAACTTTTATTGTGGGAGGATGATGAGCACAGGGCCAGAAACATCTAATTAATGTCAAAACTGTGGAAAAGCAGATATTGTATCATTGAAGATCATTTTCAATCGAGACCCTTGAGAAGGATGAACTGATAGGGTGTCTGCTAGTAACTGGACACAAAGGGAAAAATCTGTGCCAATTGGATACAATGGACAAACATTAAGGGAATTAAGAAAAATGGTGCCATTACCGAAACTGAGATTGGTCAGGGTGAGAGAGAGGTGCTGACTTGTAATTATTTTTGTTCTCACATTAAAGATGGAATTCTAAATTTAGTATCAGTACCTCCAAATCAATTTGGTATTGTGTGGTTAGAGTGTACGGTGACACCTCCAAGACAATAGTGTATCTTCACTACATTTAAAACAAATTCCAAGCTTTCTCCCCATAAGCATTTTGTAAACCCAATTTGTCACAGAAAAGCTTACACTGGGAGGTGGCTGGCCAATGCCAAACTTACGGCACTAAAGTTCCTTTATTTTTCCCTCTTGTTTGCTTCTTTGTTGCAAATGCAGTTGTCTTGGGGTTTGGCCTGGTTTTATAAGGAAAAGTATTTTCTTTCTACCTATTTTTTTTTTAATATGGGAAAAAAAACTCACAACGTGAGATTCCTTTACTTCTGCAGCATAAAAGCAAATGAAGGTAAGAAAATCTCCTGGTACGAAAGATTTGAGTAAGAATTCTCTCTAGAATAAACAAGGTCCCCACAGATAGCTGAAGGAAAGAGGAAGTAGTTCAGTCTGGCACCCAGTACTCTTTGGGAAAACAAAAAGGGAGGCAGATTGCAGTACTGCTCTCTTCTCATAGAAAACGGTAAGTTTTTGTGGCATGGTCCATTGTCCAAGAGTGTAAGAAAAGAAGTGAGTTGGCCATTCAAATAGCTAAAATGCAGTTTCATCGACCAAAATCCCAGGATTATCTGCACAGTCTCTGCAGTGCTAAGACAGTGCAGGCGAGAGACCACGAGAGCAGGGAGTGGCCGCGCTGGGCTGCGGAAGAGTCCACTTCTCTCCTGTCGGGATCCACTGCAGGGGCCTCTGTGGTGACAAACTCAAACTCCGTGGGACATACGTCATCCATGCACCCGCTGCCACTCCCTGAGCCGCTGGATTCATCGCCTGGTGTGGAAATATCGAAAAAGAAAGTTAGCTCTCAAACCAGGAACGAGGAGAGACCGAGAACCCAACAGAAAGGAGCATGGTTGCGGGGGGTGGGGAGGAAATCTCCCCATCCACAGCCTCCACCCCACCCCAACAGGTTTGTTTGTGATGGGCGGTGGACTGTGTAGAAATAGGTATTTGACACGCAGTATTATTTGATATCTGAGCTACACAACCTAAGAAACGTGTGAACTCCAGGCCCAATGGGAGGCCGTAACTACCATGTTGTCATTAGAAAGATACTTCTTCTCCTGGTTGATATTTAAATTGCATTAAGAAATTCTATTCTTTGTTCTTTTTGCACCTTAGAGCCATTGCTTTTAGCCAATATCGTACTTTTAAAAAGATTTTTAAAGGAAAACATAGAACAGGAAAAAAAAAAAGTACTGTAAGTAGGAAATCAGAGGAGCAGCAGCACATAGTTGTGGGAAGAATATGTTATTATTACTTTTGGCCACTTTTCCCCACCTACGTTCTTTTCCTAAGAGCGGGATGGGCTCTATCCTGGCCAGCCTCTCCCTTTAAACCAGGGGTTGACGAACAACAGCCTGCTGCTTGTTTTCATATGGCCCATAATAACCTAAGAATGGTCTTTATATTTTTAAGTGTTTGGTAAAAAAAAAAAAATCAAATGAAGAATAATATTTTGTGACATGTAAAAAATGCACATGTGACATTCAAATTTCAGTGTCCATACATGAAGTGTTATTGGAACCCAGCCACACCTGTTCACGTACATATGGGCACACCGCACCAGCAGCGGGGCCTTGCTGTGACGGAGACCGTGTTGCCCTCAAAGCCTAACATATTTAATATCTGGCCCTTTACAGAAAAGGTCGGCCATTCTCTGCTTGAAACCAACGCCCAGGTGCCCACACAGTACGTCAGCACCTCTAAGCCCACTCCTTACTGCCTGGTTCCTTCTTGTTTGACAAACTCTGTCTCGGGCCTGGCCCTGGATCAGGCTCCATCATTACTAGCTGTGTGAAAGTACTTGTCACCTCCTGGGAGTATATCATTTATTTGCTTGTTTACAGCTCATGGCCTTCTCAAAAATGTATGCTGGGGGTGCAAACTTCATGAGGGTGGAGACTTGGCATAGACTGTTCACTTCTGTATCTCTAAGGCCTTCAATGTTCCTGGCATTCAGCAGGTGCTCAATAAATACTTGTTGAATAAATAAATGTGCCTTGAGCAGTTTACTCAACTTGTGTCAGTTTCCTTGTCTAAACAAATACAGACAACAACATGTAACTTTCAGGTAGTGTGTGAGGACAACTCTATAACGTGCACAGGGGCGCCCAGCCCAGGACTCTCAATGATGCCTGATGGAAAAAACGGGATTCCCACAGTCAGGGCAACCTAGAATTTAATCTGCCATTTTTTTTTCTTTTTTTTGAGACAGAGTCTCACTGTGTTGCCCGGGCTAGAGTGCCGTGGCATCATCCTAGCTCACAGCAACCTCAAACTTCTGGGCTCAAGCGATCCTTCTGCCTCAGCCTCCCAAGTAGCTGGGACTACAGGCATGCGCCACCATGCCCGGCTAATTGTTTCTATGTATTTTTAGTTGTCCAATTAATTTCTTTCTATTTTTAGTAGAGACGGGGTCTCGCTCTTGCTCAGGCTGGCTTCGAATTCCTGAGCTCAAACAATCCGCCCGCCTCGGCCTCCCAGAGAGCTAGGATTACAGGCGTGAGCCACCGCGCCTGGCCCATTTTTTTTTTTAAATAGACTAGGGTGAGCCAGTTAGCCTCCATGAGGCTCCATTTTCTCACCTGTGAAAACAAGAGTAATAATATCTATTTCACAGAATTGTTGTGAGGAAGAATGTTCCTGGAAGGACTCAGGAAACTGTAAGCTTTGTAAGGACATTTGCTGTTTCCCTGACTTGCTCAATGATTCCAGCCAACAGCCCTCAACTCCTCCCTGCTGGCCGGAAGTGAGGATGCTGGTCGAGCTTCTCCTGGGAGGCTGGCGCCATCTTGGCTGCTGGACGCACCTTAGGTAAAGCCCGGGCACTGCAGGAACTCTTCTAATGTCCTCTTGCATGAGAAAGACTCACGCTTGGAGAATGAGCATAATTTTTTTTCTCAGTGAGACATCTGAATACCAGATAAGATCACCTGAGTAGACTGCACTGGGTTTTTAGCACTTTCTCTGATTTATCTTTAGTAGCCTTTTCAAGGGGGAAAATGCCCATTAATTAAATTCAGAGATCTCAGAATTGCTAAGGGGGTGGTTCTGAACACTGGTATCATGCACAAGGAGTAATACAGTTTTTACAAAGATATTATTAAAATGATTTAGAACATTAAAAATGTGGAAAGCAAATAACGACACGGGATTCTGGCTGGGAAAAGTAATGGTCCCATCTCTTTTTGAAAAGGAATCACAAATGCAAGCATTTAAGGGGTGGGATGGGCAACTTAAAAAATGTCAAAAGCAATAAGGGTGATGACAGCTATAAGATGTGATAATAGTTTATAGGACAGATGTTAGCCTAAAAGAGAGAGCCAAATTTGGTGCTTGGGTTAGAGCTAAGGGATGCTCTTAATTGTTGTTGACTTTATTTTCTTTTGAGGGGAAATGGAGCAAGATCTCTGCCTCCCGTACATTCCCCGAGCTTTGCAGGTTGACATGTATTAAACACATCAGAGAGGAGAGAGAAGCAACAAGGCCAACATTAACTAATTCTTACATATCTTGAATCATTCATTCCAATGGTCACTCTCTAGATAATACAGCATTTTATTAAATGGAGAAGAAAGAATGGATAAAATGAGAGGAGGGAGGCTAAGTACTAGCAAGAATGAAGCAAGAAAGCCAAAACCTTGTGTCCTGCTGTGTTCCAAAAAGAAACAAGTTTAGGTAAAAGGAACAGAGATAAAGGGATGATTTTGAGAAATTTTACAGCGGTGAAGTCTGGGTTGGTTATTATCCTATGTTTAGAGAATTAATTCTTTGAGTTATTTAAAATGGAATAAAGCATGAAAAATTTTCTGCAGGGGACAACTCAGCAGGCTGATGGCTAAGACTTAGATGACTTGATGTCTTCCATCTGTAACTTGTGTCTTTCTATCTCATTAATCTAAGCACAAAAGCATCATCTTTTGCTTCAGTGATCAAGTTACAGAATCTTTGGCAACTTCACATCTTATGTTCAAGAATTCTTTTCCAGGAAACTCTGTAGAAGTATACACTTAAAAAAAGCAACAAAAAAACCAACAATAAAAAATCTTGCCTTTGTATATCGAAACTACTCAGATATAGTTAGTTTCATGTCAGTGTTCACTTAATATTGTTTCAAGTCACTTCTAATACTTCTGTGATCCTTAAAAAATTAGTCATCTGTAGTACTGCATTGGCATTTTACTATTTCTCTCAATATTTCAGATACAAATGTTTATGGTTTGTGTATGTGCACAATTGGATACAGAGGGAAATGATGCAGTTGAACCCACTCACTACCGACCAGATACTGCCTTAGCTCCTTTACGTATCGCCTCGAATGAGACTCCCAACAGCCTTTGGGGCAAGGATGCTTCCATTCTACACAACAGGAATCTGAGACTCAAGAAGTAGAGCACTTTGTTCAAGACCCCAGTTCATAAGGGATAAGACAGGGATTCTAGCCCTGGCTTGTCTAAGCCATATGTAGGTCATTCTTCTTTGGGTGGTGTTGAGGGAAAGGGGGCAGGAGTTTGGGGCAGATGTCAATGCTGATGGGGAAAGAAGAAAGTGAAAAAATTACTTTGTGGCTTTGTCATTAACAGGTCAACTGGTAGATGAAACTGAATTTGGGCTTTTGTGTGGCTGCATGTATACACTGGAACTGTTCCTTAAGACCAGTTATGATTTTGGTAGCATCCTAAGTTTTGTGGATCAGAGCTCTCTGTCCAAAAGACTGTAAAAAGCTTCACAGATTGAGGAGGAATGGGACTAAATCAAAGGGGCACACTACTCTTGAAGAAAAAATATAGTCTAATCTACAGCCATATTTCACTCAGGAAGTTACTGGTCCCGGTAAAGATCTTCTTACTTGTGTCCTGGAAGTTGACGTCATTGCCATTGTATGCGTTTTTCAGTTTGTTGGTCATCACGCGGAGAGCCATGATCTGTTGTCTGATGAACGTGTCGGGCCGTGTGATGTCCACGTCCACCTCGGGGTTGTTGATCTGGTTGGTCAGCCCATCATTCATAATTTCGGGCAAGTACCTGCAAGGAAGCGGGGAGAGAAAGATTAGGGTGATCTATCAGGGACCTCACAACCAGATTCTGCCACTCCGCCTTTACAGTGAGCCAAGACACCTGGCAAAAACCAGAC